TTACCCAAGGCTATGTGGATTCCCCAGCTGTTTATTCGTTGGTACTCCAACATACTCTAAAAACATGGACCACCGGTCATGGTTCCGTCCTTTTTGCAAAATGTTGATGATTTGTTGTTATGTAGCCCTAGCTATGAGGCAAGCACTGTGGATACTGTCAGCAACTGTAGGTCACAAGGTTGTTAAACACAAAATGCAATTGTGTAAATCAAAGGTTGAATACTTAGGTTTTGTTCTGGCTTTAGGCACCAGACAATTGAGTCCAAAACGTATTGAGGTCATTCAGAGGATTCCTACACCCACTATTCGGAAGGAGTTGCTCACCTTCCTCGGCATGATTAATTACTGCCACCATGGATCCCTGAATGCTCCCATTATGACTCAATCCTAAGGGAGGCTGTACGTTCTGACAGCCCTGAAAATGTCTGCTGGTCACCAGACATGCTAGCTGCATATATTGCCCTTACAGTTGTTATTGTGCAAGCCCAGGCTTTAGGACTACCTGTGTATTGTAAACCATTTCATTTGTATGCTCGGGACAACTGTAAAACCATGGCCGCGGTCTGTGCACAAGAGCAAGGAGGCGGTATGCGTCCCATAGCATTCTTTTCCAAAGTAGTTCGAGCTCCGGTACAGGGTATGCCGGCGTGTCTCAGAGCATTGATAGCATGTGCAATGGCTGTTGAAACTGCTACTACTATCACACTAGGGCATCCTACAATACTTCATGCCAGTCACCAGGTCACTCAGCTGATAAATATCACCATACAACACATGACAGCCCAGCGCTTCAGTGGTTATGAGATTCTTTTTTTTAATACCCAGAATCTGTCTTTTGGATTAAACAAGGTTTAGAGAAAGATCAAAATGATCTGTTCTCTAAAGAGGGGAGAATAGGCATACTTGAAGAATAGGCATACTTGAAGCAAGCTGATTTATTTTCATCAGTCAGGCACATAGCAAGCACCATTCAATTCCTCATGAATTCATTTTATATTAGGAATCTCAGGCAGCATGTACAGTCTTTTGTAAGATCGTGTGAACGCTGCTCTTTTTACACACTTACAGATTGATTTTATTCATGTATCCAAAATTGGTAAGAAACAGCAATACTTACTGGTCATAGTTGATCAGTTTAGTAGATGGCATGAGGCCTTTGTGACATCTAGGGAAGATGCTAGTGAAGATTATTGTTACTGAAATTATTCCCCGGTATTGCTGCCCTCTGCAGATTGGCTCTGATAATGGCCCCGTTTTTGCAAGTAGGGTTGCCCAGGAACTTGCTAAATTCTTGCAAGTTACCTGGCAGTTTCATATACCCTATCATCCACAGAATACAGGGGTAGTTGAAAGGATGAATAGGACTATTAAGGAAAAGCCCAGAATTTACCCAGGAACATGGGTAAATTGGACTAGATATCTACCAGCTATTTTAGCTGAGATAAGAATATATCCCCACAAGATGAATTGTTGATAAAACCGAATGGTATGTATGACAATGTTTCTTCGCAGTTTTCCCTTACCTTCACAGGAACCTACTCATTCATACCAGCCCGGTGACAAGGTGTATATCCGTCAGCTGAACAGGACCAAGAAAGGAGGATACCCTTTTGGACCACCTGCTACTGTGATTGCTGTACCCAGAACCGCTGTCCACAGATTCCCATGACATCTGGATTCACGCATCCCGAGTGAAGCTGTGTCCAAAGAGGGGAACCAAGGAAGACAACACCACTCCTCGCTCGGAAACAGAAGAATTTCTCCTCAGCGAAGCATCATGGCTTTTACACCATATCGTAGATTGAGAGGATCATACGTACCTGAGACCAAGATTATGTTGTGCGCTATGCTTTCTGGAGTTGTTATACTCCCTCTGATATTGTTCCTTGAATGCCATTATGAGTACAAGTCAATGGCAAGTTTCTGGAAAAAGACTCTGACATGATGAACAATTCTTCAATACCCCCAGCCCAATTAGGCCTTAGCCCCTCATCTAGCATTCGTCACACACGCCCTCTCAAGAACCCTTCTCCACCACCTTTCTATCAGCATGTAATATGCAATCATTCATTGACTGAACGCATTTGGATGAATTGGACAAATAGTAACCCTTATAAGTACCAGTTACCCATATGAAATGTGTCTACAGCTAATGAAACCGATGCATTATGTTTGTTTAAAGGTTCACAGAAAATTGTTAGATCTTATAACGCAGAAATGTGCACAGTTAAGGTTGCATATCAATGTAAACAGACAGGCCTTATTACTTTTAATAATGATTATATAACTGGTATCATTAATTGGAAAAGGGGACAAATGTTAGTCATTATGAACGACACTGCAATTGAGAACTATACACTACCTTATATTTTTACACCTTATTACTGTCCTTCATCCACTACCATAGAACCAAAAGTCAAACACGACACACACACACCTATTCCGTCCACATGTGTTAATACAACTGCCTTCTTACAAGCTGTACATGTGTCATTAAAAGTCACTACTCTTGTTGTAACATTATGTAATACAACAAACAAAGGCAGAAAAGGGAATGGTATGACACACTGTTAGGAGGTGCTGGAACCACTATGGGTATACTAAATAGTTATAGATATGGAGACCCTCAAGAATAAGTTAAACACAGCCAGCATGTATATAGGGACTGGTTTTCATGCTAGTGCAAATTGGGCTCCAATTGTTGTTAAATCACAGGTTATAGGATTGGATTTAGATAAATCAATGTATAATTATTTAGATAATTTAACTGTTGCAACTATGAAATTCACTACAGGTCTAAGTAACTGGAGTACTTGTGCCATCAGGTATTTATGGATACAACAACAAGGATTGGCATTAGAAAACACACTAATGATTCCTAAACTAGAGAAGATTAGAGGAAGCGTAACCTCACAGATAATGAATGGTTACTTCTAAAACCCCAATCCAGTAAATGCAATGGATGGTTAACTGGTAATGTTTCACATTTTTCATGCTCATGCTATTTTACATTATATCATACAACATCAAAGGATGTTAAATTAGCTTGTCAATTTAACACATTACCAGTACCAGTTTATGATCTTTTTGCCAAGAATTTAACCTGGTGGGCACCCACATACACAGGGGACTATATTTTTCCCAAAGATAACATACACAGGTAGCCACGCATATCCTAAAAGGAGAACTCCTTAAGGTGAGTTCACAAATTCAGAATGATTTAGCCCATCATTGGTACGATGCTTCACTGGTTGGTCCCCTACTGGATCCCAGATAATGAAATCATTCTTCTATCATTTTTTTATTATAGTCCTGATTTTATTGTGTATGATTTTGTATAACTGCCATCTTACTTGTACATTGAGAAAGAGAGTACAGAAATTAATCCATAATGCAGAACAGAAACAATTAGAAATTCTCCTCTCTGCCACTGGAGGGTATCAACCCATCTTTAAACTGGGCCTTAGGAATTACCACATGGGAATCGAGGTGAAGAAATTAATGAAAGTCCCGCAGGGAGTGACTAGCACCCCTGAAAATACCATGTGGAAGTTTCTCTGTCCTGGTAAGATTTTATCGATAAGATGAGCAATTGTTTTATTGCTCAAAGAGGGGAATGTAAGAATATTAAATAGTTAACTTGTTTATATGTATTTTATGCTTTTATAAGGTTTATAACATGATTATTGCTGACTGAAGGGATATTGAATAACGACATAATATGCTGACTGTGACAGACTAAGGTATTTCTTCTATAGGATGTAAGACAATGCTAAAATTTCAGGATGTCTTGCCCATTCCGATTTCAGGATATTCTTTTCCAGACGTATGCAAAAGCTTATCTTTCCATTGTCAGAATAACGTAATATAAGGAAGTAATAAATCTTATAGTCTGTACTGTATTTGCATATACCATGGCTAATGTAAGCAAACTATGTATAAAAGCCAGCTCTGGAATACACTCATTTGAGAGTCTTGTAAAGCTGTTGTCCGTGTGTTATTGCTTACAAATGATTCTCCATCAACGTTGATTATGGTGACCGAGGGATCGAGAACCGAGGGGATTAGAGTCCATTACAACATTAACCCTTTCAGCTATTAACACCACATTTGCGTTCTTTAACAATAAACCAGTGGCACTGCAGTAAAGGCATCAGAACTGTAAATATGGCAATAAAGCTTAAAGCGGCACGGTCACGTTGAACTTAATTTCTACTATTATTTTCTCTTCCTTTTTCAGAATCTGTTCTTTTCTTTATTTCTGATCTAGTTTCCTTTGAAACATAAGGAAAAGTAGGGACTGTTTTGTCTTATGTGTTTTTCCTACGCTATACGTTCTCT